GTTATTATTTTTACATTATTATTTGAAACGTGTATTTTATTGTTATTTGATAAATACAAACTGGATAGCTTCATCGTGCGTGATCACGCAATTCTTGATTTGTTCGTATGTGTAATTATTTGAAACAATTTCATTGAGTGATTTCGCATTTCTTGTTACTTTTTGTACTTGGTATCTTTACAAAAATAGACATACAATAATGAGTACTTATAATGAGAATTATTAGATTATTCATGCATTTGTATATTTTGTTTTAGCTTGATTACCCGCAAACTGTAAATAATCCGCTGCAATGATGAATTATAAGAATCAATAACGAATCTACGGCAACTATGGTTACTACAACCATGATTGATCCCCAAGCAAGTTGCAAATATACATAGAAAAAATAATTGTCATCGTTAAAAAATAAATAATTAACTTTCAGCAGTTGTTGCCGTGGTCGAGTTTCATTTAATGGAAGAACGATGTCCAATATGGGAGAAAGTAATGGAATCAATAGGAACAATACTAGAGCTGTCAATAATGCACCTAAAAAATATATATGATGATTTACGAGCAAAACATTAATAAGGAAAATTCGTTATTTAATTATACTAATTAGAAATTAATCAATTGATCAACATTCTTAATTTCGGAATCAAAAGTATATTCTAAATTTTCAGAAACTAAATAATTAATCTTAATAAATCTGATTCTGGCATAATTGACAAATTAAAAATCTAGAAAACTATAATATACTTCGGTATAATTGCGCCATTTTGTTCCTTGTATAACAGTATTATCAAGAATGTGCAATTCATTATTTAATTTCAGCTTGTTCCATTCACTTGCCACAAATTGAAATAATTTGTCAAACTAGAAAAAATATATTATTCTAAAAAAATTCTTTTGTATAATTAAAAAATTACTTACGTTTTCTCTATAGAAATATATATTCAATATTTTAACGGCGCTAATGGTAGCTGCGATAAAATGTGGTAGACCCTCGATCACTGCGTCCATATTCTTGTCACATAACGATGTGTATAATTCTATTGACTAACGATTACAAATTTCAATTGTTTAACGTTACCTTTATTTCATTACGTAGAATTCACTCGTTTTAGTTTCTTCATTTTTATAAAAGATTTCCTTACCGTTGGAACAATATTGCTTGAAATACTAATCACCACCACTGTTACTATACAATTTCTGAAATTACTCTTTAAACGCGGATCTTGTCCCAAAAGTTGAAAATATTTCTCGACCATTTTATAGTAAGGAATGTCAAATATTTCGGGATACTGTCTTTCGGTTTTCTGAAATACTGAGTAACTTGAATTTAAATTCATATCATAAAAGTTACTCTTTACCGAATTATTTTAAATATAACGAAAAAAAATGATATTAACATAATATCAATGTATTTTTAATTTATAAAAAGTTAAATATTTCAATCGTGATATAAATTATATTTGTTCCTCTTACTATCCATATTTCCAGTATTTATTGTAGAAACAATCGTCGTTTCAAAGGGATGAATCTTCTTCCTTCGAGAATGGAAGAAATCAATCTGATAAATGTAATTAAATTCGACATTTGATGATACTCTATCTATCTAACTGTATATATAATTTTTAAGTATAATTTCGACTCGTTTCCTTATACGACAGGTATACATTATTGCATACTTAAATTAATCGACATTGTGCGACAATTGTATTATAGATAAGAAAATGACAATTTTACGGTTGTATTGATGCCTGCCACTTATGTTGAAAATCGAACATGTATTATTATCCTGAAATATTGATTGCTATGGCTGCAATATGGCATTCGCTAAACATTCGGTGATAGAGAAAAGATTTTCAAATTACTGTGTACTGAAAATTATTAAATTCTAAAAAAATCATCTCTAAGTAGTAGTGTTCCAATAATACTAATTTCTTCGACTTCCAAATATGAGTTCTCTTTGTTGGATTCAATGGAATATTGTTATTTGTAAAATGTGGATAGTATAGGTAACAAAAAGTATTTCTAAAACTATCATTTCTCATCTTGTTAAAATTTGAAAATTCTATTTTAGGTTCATCATAAGTGAAATGAATTTTATGAAATGTTGGTCAATTCGTTATTTTGATATGATTTTCTTATGGTAAGATATAATCTTTTTTTATACATTGAAATATTATAGCATTTTGTTTTATTCATATGATTTTGATAAAGTCATTTATATTATTTAACAATATAATACTAATATATACTATATTATTATTTAACAATATAATAACTATGTTATTACTATTATTCACATCCTTTGGATTTATTTACTTTGGATAGAAAATATAATATATTTACTCGTAATATATTTTAGATAACGTAGACTCATTATTTCAGCGACATTATCATTGTGAAATACGACATGCACGTTTTAAACGTCTTGAAAAGAAAAAGATTGTAAGTAATAATTGATATAATACAATTATTTTAATTTTATATTCATACGTACTATTCCGAAATTTTCTATG